TTTTGTTTTATTTTTTTTTTTTTCAAATTTTTTTTACGGGCCGCGGGTTAACCGCGGCCCGTGGGGGTGCAACCCGCGAAGCCCGCGGGTTACACCTCCTTGACCCGTGAACCGCCCGCACGGGTCACGGGTCGGCCCGCGGTCCCGGTTTTCACGGGTCGGTTTTCACGGGTCATGGCCGGCCCGTCCGTCTTGACACCTCTAATTTTTAGTTTGCACTTGGTGCATCGGATTATACTGTATCACTACCAGAAATTGCTTAGTTGACGGCTATGCTAATAAAGTACGTTTGATTGTGAGCATGAAATTTGTATGGAAATAAAATAAATTTTAGTCAATTTAATTACTTGAAAGTTATTTGTATGAAAATATTAATTAAATGTGTTTGATTGTTTTAGTTTTCAACTTAGAAAATATTATACTTGTTCATTTTTTATTGGTGGGTAGATGAAAGAGAGATAATTACTTAGAAAATAAAAATCACCTCTCCCTAAAAAAAATATTTTACTTGTTTTCAAGGAAAATATGATCATATGATCAAAAGTTGGAAATTATTTTTCGTGGAAAAAAATATCAATGTGCAAAAATAAGAAATTAGGTGGAAAAAAACACATTTTTCATGGAAAATATTGACAATCAAATGCACTCTAAGTGTTGCTACGTGACACTTTAGAAATGAAATTATGAAATAAGGATTATGATGTCGTCTTTAGACTAAAATGCTAATATGCATGTTTCGTTTCGTTTTTTTTTTTTAATCTTATTTTAATACTATTAACAATGTGGTGATTCGAGATGACTTGTAGAAAGTTTTTTTTTTTTTTTTGGATAATCGTGGATGTCCCTACTAGCTTGAGCGCACCTTGACTAATCCCACGGGTCCTGAAATTTGTGGTCGGGTACTCACCTCAATGGTCCTGGGGGGACTCGAACTGGTGATCACTGGGGAGCAAACTCAAGGCCCGATGAATTGAGCAACCTTCAAGGTTGATGACTTGTAGAAAGCTATTCACATCATATCGAATTGCAGTCTACCATCACCAAGATTGTGTAAATTTTTTATGGACAATGCCAGGGTGCCAGAATTTTTTTGACACCCTAGGTAACATACACCCACAATAGGGGTGGGTGGAGGGTATGTTTTTACATTT